GGCAGACGCTGAGGCTGAGGCTGAAGGCTGAGGCTGAGGCTGAGGCTGAAGCAGGCTGAGCTGAGGCAGGCTGAGGCTGAGGCTGAGGCTGCAGGGCTGAGGCTGAGGCAGGCTGAGGCTGAGGCCGAGGCTGAAGGCAGACTGAGGCTGAGGCTGAAGCAGGCTGAGGCTGAGGCTGAGGCAGGCTGAGGCTGAGGCTGAGGCTGAGGCTGAGGCAGGCTGAGGCTGAGGCAGGCTGAGGCTGATGCAGGCTGAGGCTGAGGCAGGCTGAGGCTGAGCCCGAGGCTGCAGGCACACTGAGGCTGAGGCTGAAGCAGGCTGAGGCTGAGGCTGAGGCATGCTGAGGCTGAGGCAGGCTGACGCTGAGGCCGAGGCCGACGGCAGACTGAGGCTGAGGCTGAAGCAGGCTGAGGCTGAGGCAGAGGCAGGCTGAGGCTGAGGCTGAGGCAGGCTGATGCTGAGGCAGTCTGAGGCTGAGGCTGAGGCAGGGTGAGGCTGAGGCAGGCTGAGGCTGAGGCCGAGGCTGAAGGCAGACTGATGCTGAGGCTGAAGCAGGCTGAGGCCGAGGCCGACGGCAGACTGAGGCTGAGGCAGGCTGAGGCTGAGGCTGAGGCAGGCTGAGGCTGAGGCTTTGATGCGACTGCCGTTGCCACTGCGACTGTCATCGCGAATGCGACTACGAGTGCGAGAACAGCAGAATTCTACAACTGGATTCTCATCTGAATCTTAAGGGGAATGCTTTCAGATATGCTCCTACACATCGCTGTTAGGTTGCTTTGCCGGGATAATTTGTTGCATAGCTTTTGACCATGTAGACGTTTTTGTTGCGCATTAGTTTTATTTGTCGCTCCAAATCCGCCCGTAGGGGGACACGCCCGACCTAACCCTGGCCCCCGGACGCGAAGACAGCGACGCCGTCGCCGACATCAGGGCGGGTTTCCGCGCGGGGGGTGTCTCGCTGGACGCGCAGCTGTCTAAGAGCACCGAGGGCGCCGACCTACCAGGCGCCGCTGCGCCAGACCGCGCACTCCAGCACGCGCTCGGCAGCAAGGGCGCCACGCTGCTAGAGATGCCCCAGAACACTAAGCGCAAACCGGACATGGCCGAAGCGCTCCGCGTCACGCAGGAGGAGCGCGGCTGGCAAATTGGATGCCCCGCAAGAGGTGGATCGACCCCGACGGGCGCGTGAGTTCCACGGTGCCCTTCGTCCGTCGGCTACCGATGCGCCGTTTCCCCCGCGCCCAGGACCGCACCGCCACCTCCTACAGAGAGCGCCCCGTCGACTACGCGACGGCGAGCAGCTTCATCCTGCTACGGCCACCCAGGAGTGCATGCGCGTGGCCAGCCTGGCCTCGCTCCTCGACGCCGTCTCGACGCCGTTCCTTCCATCGCCGAGACTTTCCGCCACTGGGGCGGAGGTCGCGCGCCGCCCATCGCGAAGAGGGACTGCGCCCAGGCATGCCGCCAATGACCGGTGCACCACGACGACGTTCCGGTGCCGGTCTGCCTGCTCTGGGACAACGGCGCCAGGCGCGTGGGCGGATTCCGGGCCTGCGCGCGCCAGGCCCTGCCTTTTGGCGCCTTCGAGGCCGCGTGGAGGCACGCGCGCGACGCCGCCAGTGCGACCTGCCCCCTACGCGGCATCTTCAGCGCGCCGCAGAACGCGCGCGTTGACGACTTCCACCGCGCCTTGCCTGACAGATGGGCCGCCCAGCACGAGTGGGCGTTCCAGGAGCTGCATTCCGTGTTCGGCATCCCGCTGAAGGGGGGCAAGGCACATGCACGGTCTGGCGGCCGTGCTGGGCATTCTCGGAGCGGACGTCTTCTCCACTCCCCGCTGGGCGGGCTTGCGCTTCATCGCCAAGCCGCGCCGCCTTGTCCGACAACGTGGGCGCCGCCCTGCGTGCGCGACGCCTGAGCAAGCGCGGCGTTGCCAGGCTGGGCGGTCGATGATCGGCCGCGCAGGCCGCGCCTGCACCTCTCCCTCGCCCGCGCGTGCCTGGGGCTGGCATGGCCGCGGAGCGCGCGCAGCCATGGTGGAAACCAGCGCTGCGGTGCCAGCTGCGCCGCGTGCGCGTCCGCGACGCGGGCCTCCCAGTCGTCCTCGGATGGGTCGACGGACCCTAGGGCGCGGCATCAGCGTTGGAGCATGCCGCTATCCCCAAAGAGCGGCGGTCGCAGTTTCTCGACGCACAGCCCGCCGCGCCTCTGCCTGCGCAGAATTGCTCGAGATATCGGCGAGAGGCAGCGGAGCGCCCGGGCCGAGCTGCGCGCCGCCCTCGTCTCGCTTCTGCCGTGCCCAGAGGCAGTGCGCGGAGCTCGACTGCGGTCCTGTTCGAGGGCAACGCTCGCGCCCTGGAGAGCGCCCGCTGCGGCGCCGCGCAGCCGGCGACGACGACGGCGCGGCCATCGTCGGCGCAATCTGGCTCCTACTACTGCGCGCCTTCGGCGCGCAGGTCCGGCTCGACCGCGTCGCGTCGGGGAGCGACCCCGCCGGTTCCCAGCCCCGGCGAGCCGGGCGAGCAGGCCGACGCAGGGGCCCTTGCGCAGCGCCACCGCCGCCGAGCGGCCGAGCCCCGCTTCCAAGCGCCCTCCCAAGCACATGGACGCCGACACGCGGGCCACGGCAGTCGCATCGGCGTAAAAGGACTGGGCGCGCGACGACCATCGCCGCGCCGCGCGCGCCGGGCTGCGCCCGACGGCAGCGCGCGCGGCAACTATCGCCGCGCTGCTCGGCGCCATCTCTTCCGACGAGGACGGCGCGCAGATCGCCCTGGGCTGGGCCCGCGCCAGGCGGGCCGGCGCAGCGGCCGCGGTCCCGCATTTCCACGCAGACCTGCAGCGGCTGCCCTTTCCCGCCGTCCAGCCTCGCGCCGGCGGCCGCAGAGCCGCGACCGTCGCCCTCCGCAAGGCGGCGCGGCCCCGCGCGCCGCCCGAAACTGCCGGGCGCACTGCGACGGCCTTGATTGCTCGAGGGGGCCGGCAGCCGCGGTCCGGCAGCCGCGCAGCGCCGCGCGCCCGCGCTCTTGGCGAAGAGCGACGCGACCATCGGGCATTGCAGGGTGGCCATCGCCAGCGCAGAGGAACGGCGCCAGGCCGCCGCGATGCGCAAGCCTGGGCCGGGCACCGCGGGAGCTGCGGCTCGCCCCAGCTGGCGCGCTCGGCGGCCCCGGGCGGGCCGCGCGCGGCCGAGCGGCAGGAGTTAGAAAATTCGCCCGCGCGCAAGGTTTCGAGCGCGGTCGAACAGGGTCGGCGCAGAGCCGGCCCTGGCAACGGCGCCGCCTCTGCTCGGCCCCCCCTGGCCCCCCGAGCGCAACGCCCTGGCGCGGGAAATCTTTTGGGCGACTGGGCTGGGGCGCGCGCGGGCATGGGTTTGCAATAGGTCGCGGGGCCCGCTGGGCGGCGGGGGCCGACGGGCGCGAGGCGCCATCGCAAGTGCTCGCCCAGGCGCACGTCGGCGCCCCCCACCCCTCATCGGACCGCGGGCCGGGCGGCGCGGACTGGGCCGCCCGCAGGTGGCGAAGTGCGGGCAGGTCGGGGCCTGCGCAGCCTGGCGGCGGAGAGCGCCCCCTCCCCGCCCCTGCGGCGGCTCTGGGCGCCGGGCGCCCTCGCCGGCAACCCGGCCCTGCGCGCGCCCCCCTTCAGGGCGGGCGCCGTCGCGCAGGGGGTGGGGGGGGCGCCGCGCGCGCAGCGCTGGGCGCAGCCCGTCGGGGGCCATCCGTGGAAAATGCGAGAGCTAGAGGACCGACCAGGGTGTTCTCCCCAACTCTCTGCCGCTAAGGTTCCGTTTTATGTGGGCCGCGAGGTCACGGCGCCCCATCGGCGGGGCGCGAAGCTCTGGGTCCTCCTCCTCGTCCCACCGTCGCCCTCCTCGTCCTCCCACCCTGCCGTTGGTCGTCCTGCCGTTCCTGCTGCTTCCCCGACGGCCTGCGCCTCCCCCCCCCCCCCCCTGCGCCCCCGCCCATCGCCTTTTGCGTCCTCTTCCCATCCCCCTCGGGCCCCTTCCTACGCGCCCCCCCTCTGCCCCCCCCTGCCCCCTCCCCATTCCTGCCCCTTCTGCCCCTCCCCGTGCCCCTATCCCCTCGGCCCCTTCCTCTCCCACCCTGCCCCCCCTGCCCCTCCCCATCCCTGCTCCTGCGCTGCCTCTTGCTCGGCTTCCCGACAGGAGAGGGTCATGTACGTGTCCGGGGACATCATGCTCAGCAAGGCCGACCGCGTATTGGGCGCGGGAACGCTCACCAGGATCGCAGGAGGAGGAGGACGAGGACGAGGACGAGGAAGAGGAAGAGGAGGAGCAGAATGAAGAGGATCATTAGGAGAAGGAGGGAATGTTGGCGGAGGAGTAAGAGGAGGAGGAGGAGGAGGAGGAGGAGGAGGAGGAGGAGGAGGAGGAGGAGGAGGAGGAGGAGGAGGAGGAGGAGCCGCCCCCTTTGGCGCCCTCGATGGTTAGCGACTGCGGCGCATCTCGCGGAGTCAAAAAGAGGAGGAGGATGAAGATGATGATGATGATGATGCTGATGATGATGATGCTGATGCTGATGCTGATGATGATGCTGATGATGATGATGATGCTGATGTTGATGTTGATGTTGATGCTGATGTTTTTACTGATGATGATGATGATGATGATGATGATGCTGATGATGATGATGATGATGATGATGATGATGGTGATGGTGATGGTGATGGTGATGATGATACTGATACGGATGAGGATGCTGCTGATGCTGATGCTGATGCTGATGCTGATGCTGATGATGATGATAATGATGATGATGATGATGATGATGCTGCTGCTGCTGATGATGATGATGATGATGATGATGATGATGATGATGATGATGATGATGATGATGATGATGATGATGACGATGATGATGATGATGATGATGATGATGATGATGATGATGATGATGATGATGATGATGATGATGATGATGATGATGGTGATGCTGCTGATGATGATGATGAGGAGGAGGAGGAGGAGGAGAAAGAGGACTGCGAGACTCTGCGCTGTTCTTCCATGGAAAGTCGCCAGGAGGGTCCCCAGGTGGCTATCGCTTCGCGGCTCAAGCCATATCGACCTTGTTGTTCACTCGAGCTACAGCTTGATTGGAGCCGGCACACAGCACGCTTCAGCAACGTCGGACGAGGGAACAGAGAAGAACCGAACAGCCTCTTCCACACGCCGACACAGGGTCGGCGGATTTCGTCTCAAGACCCTTTCGGGCTCAACCAGCCGCGGTGCCGTGTCTTTCTGGATTCCTTTTTTCGGATGCTGGACATCGGTCTAGGGTCTCGACAAAGCAGTCGTTCCTACGAAGCTTCGATCAATAATTGCGGTCGGACAAGACAATGGAGCGCAGCATTGTCGTTGCTCCGCGAAGGAATTCATTTAGGTGTGAAGCTCGTCCCAAACCACTACAACGCTGGGATCAGCGCGTGCGGGAAGGGCGAGCAGTGGCAGCGGGCGCTGGCGCTGCTGAGCGAGATGTGGGAGGCGAAGTTGAAGCCCGACGTCATTTGTACTGCAATTCCAGGCGCTGCGAGTGCGACAAGGGTAGGACGTGAAGAAGCTGCCCCCGAGCGCCCGAAGCGCCCCAGCGCCCTCTGACGGTTCCAGAGGGCCCCCAGGTGGCCCCAGGACGTCCTCTGACAGCCCAAAGACAGCTCTGAGACGCTCCGAAGCGCGCGAGGAGGGCCCAAGAGAATCCGAACGGAGCCCCATGACAGCCCAAGACGGCCCGACGACAAGCCAGGTGCCTCCGAAAACGGCCGAACCAGATCCCGATGTCGGTCCCGAGGTCCAAATCACAGATGTTCCTTGGGTTTGTGAAGGTGTTCCATGTTCTCGCCATTTCGGCCCCAGATGGCTCCAGGGCCATCTTAGATTGCCCCACGACGTCCCGCGAGGCCTTGCCAAGTGCCCCAACACGTCCCCAGAGGGCCCGAACATTGCCCAAGAGAAGCCCAAGACAACCTCTGAGAGCCCCCAGTGGCCCCCCAAAACAGCCCCAAGTGGGCCCAACGAGCTGCCCAACAGGTCCGAAAGCGGGCTCCAAGACGGCCCGAGACCGCCAACATCGCGTCAGGACAGTTTGAGAGGCCCTCGAGACGCTCAGGAGATCCCCCACATGGCCCAAGAAGGCCTCAAGAGCTGCCAAAAAAGGCTCAAAGCGGGCTCCCAAACGGCCCAAACTATCCAACATAGCACACAAACGTCCCAAGACTCAACATCAACAGCCCTCCAAGGTTGGCCCCTGGACGTCCCTGCAAGACCCCACGACGGCCCAAGAGCGCTCCAATCTGGCCACAGAGACGCCCCAGAGTCTCCAGATGCCTCCAAGAGGGTCCGAAGATATACCAGACGACGCGCCTCCTGCAGCTCCCAATGGGCCAAGAACCCTCCCAGGACCACTCCTTCCCAGGACCACTCCGATGCCCCAGGGTCTCCCAAGAGACTCCGACGCTTGCCAAGGAGCTTTCGGCAGAGCGCCCTCAGCCATGGCACCCTTTCGCCGACTCTGGGACCCCAGAAGCCCCAGTGAAAGCCGCGGACCCCGAACGAAGCCCCTGATCACCCCGAGCCGCCCCAGACCCTCCCGAGATACTCCGAACAATTCCGACAGAGCTCTCTTGAGAGCCTTCCGCCCTTGTGCCTCCCCAGCAGTCTTCAACACATCCTCTTACACCCATCAGGCACAACGAGCCTCCTCTCCCCGTTGAGCTCTCTTCTCTCGCTCCTCCTCCTCCTCCTCCTCCCTTCTCCTCCTCGGCGCCCCTTGCTCCAAGCTCCAGCCACTCAGGAGTCCCCACACAGCCGATTCGGGGTGGCAAAGGGGACATGTAGACACCTCGGAGCCCCTGCATCAGCACCCGCACCTTTTGCTGTCTCCGAGGGCCTTCAAACGAATCCGAAGACCGCCCTTGCTCCAGTGCTATGTACTGTCTTCCTTGGCCTCCCACTCGCTCTCATGCGCCTCACTCCTCCTCTGCCCCTCGCACACCCCAGCACGTCTCGGCCCCACCTCCCCAAGCGATTAGGGGTGACAGGGGGAGCCTTCTTCTTTCTTCTCTATCCTGGCTTCCTCGTCTGCGAGCTTAGACCTCCCTCTCTATGAACTGGTCTCTTCCTCCTACACGCCCCCTTCGAACTAGGGGTGGCCAAGGGGCCTTCTTATATGTTCTCTTCCTCGGCTTCCTCCCCTGGGAGCCTGCGCTCCTCCCATTTCCGGTACTGCTCTCCTCCTCCTCCTCCTCCTCCTCCTCCTCCTCCTCCTTCTCCTCCTCTTCCTCCTCCTCCTCCTCCTCCTCCTCCTCCTCCTCCTCCTCCTCCGCCTCCTCCTGCAAGAGGCTGCAGCGAGACTGGACTGCGGGAAGCCTTGAATGCCACAAGGACCCTCCAGGGACCACTCCGAAATGGCCCGGACCCGCCCGAGACACCCGAAGGCAGCCACCCGCCCCAGAGCCCAGGGCCTGCAGCAAGCCCCCGAGCAAGCCCGCGGGCGTCGGCGACGCGTGTGCGTTCGGCCCCGACGCCTCGACCCGCCAGCCGTGGGTGTTCCAAGGGTTCACACTACAGTCTCTGCTACACATTTTCGGATGCAACTCCTTGGAGGTCAAAGGCTGATTTAGCCCCGGTCCGAAATCCCGCTTTACCTGGCCGAATCCCGCTCAATCTGGCATAATCCCGCTTAATCCTGCTCAGTCCGAGGCCCACTCCGGCGTAACAGCTTCCAGATGGGGCTCAATCCTCCTTGATCCTTCCGACGAAAACCTCCCAGTAGACCTTGACCTGCTGGCCGTGGATTTTCCACGGGTTCACACTTGTCTCTACTACACTGCAGGGCTCCGCGCGTGCGAAGAAGGCGGGGCCCGGGGAAGCGCCCTGGCGGCCCCTGCGAGCCCCAGGAGACCCTGGGAGGTGTTGAGAGGGTCCAAGCTCGCTCCGAGACGCTTCCGGAGGCCCCCCAAGAGGGCCCAAGACAGTCCAAGAGAGCCCTCCGAGACGGTCCAAGACGCTCGAAGACGCCCAAGATAGCCTCCAAACGGTCCAGAGGCCCCCAAACACTCCAAGTGGGCTCCAAGACGAGCCCCAAGAGAGCCCGAACAAGGACACATCGTCCCAATCCCTGGTGAAAACGTAAATTTCGGCAGTTCCCGTGCGTTTCGTCTTCCAAGCGTCCAAGACGGCTATTCAGGACCCCAAGATCGCCTCACGACGCCTCAGGAGGCCCCCTTATGAGGGCCCCAAGACAACCCAAGACGACCCCAGAACGGCTCCTGAGGCGCCCATGACGGCCAAAAAGGCAGCCAAGACAGCCCTATGAGAGTCACAGACGGCCCCAGACGGTCCAAAGACGTTCCCAAGAGTGCCCCAGAGGCGCACAGGACAGCCCCAGACGGCCCCGAAACCCGGAGGGCCGCAAGAGCCCTCCAGGAGGCCGAAGAGAAGCCCTGGGAAGTTTCCAAAGTGCTCCCAAGGTGGAGCAAGCGCCCCCCGTCAGGCGTCGGGAAGGCGGCGGCAGGGAAAAAGCCACCAGAACCTTCGGGGGGATTTCTTCTTGCGTCCCAGATGCGACTTCTGAAAGGCGTTAAGTCGGGCCTGTCCCTCTAGGCAGGAGGAATATTCAAAAGACTTCTGAAGGCAGGAAAGACTTCTGAAGGCAGGAAAGACTTCCTCCTGCCTTCAGAAAGACTTCTGAAGGCAGGAGGAATATTCAAAGATAGTCAAAAAATAGTCGGGGGAAGATATAAAAAAACATCTCCGAGTATTTAGAGTTTGTTTTTTGATTTTTCATTCAAAATTCCCCTGCAGGGGGACAGGCCCGACTTGAGGAAGGCGATCGGAAGCAGGTCGCCGGAGGCCTCGGGGTGCCTTTCGGGGCGGGGGCCCGAGCGTGGTGGCCAGCGCTGGCGCTGCGGAGCGCGGCCTCGACGGCCCCCCGCTCCCGAAGGGCCCAGGCGGACAGCCCCAGGGCGGCACACGAGGCGCCCGGAGGCGGCCCAGGAGGCCCCCAGGAGTCAAAGTCGGGCCTGTGCCTCTACAGGAGGAGCATTCCAAGATATTCTAAGAATAGTACGGGGGCCATGTTTTGTTATTATTTGTTGAACATTTGGGAGTATTGTCTGCCTATTTTTGTTTTTCGTCGAAGATCCCCCTGTAGGAGGACAGGCCCAACACTAGAGGCCCGCAAGAAAGCCGAAAGGACCTCCAAGAGGCGCCCAAGCGGTTGCAAAAGGCACCAGGCAGAAGCGAGCACGCTTGCCCAGACACCGCTTGCCACCTCGAGCGGACGTCGTGGAAGCAGTCCACGGGTCAGCCCTATTCATCCTTTCAGCTACAGCGCTGGGATCAGCGCGTGCGAGAAGGGCTGGCAGTGGCAGCCGGCGCTGGCGTTGCTGAGCGAGATACAGGAGGCGACGTTGGAGCCCGACGCCATCTGTACTACTATTCCGGGCGAAGCGCGTGCGAGAAGTACAAGCAGTGGTAGCGCCCCGGGCCGCCCAGAGAGCTCGCGGGCCGCCCGGAGAGCCTCCGGGCCGCTGCCCGACGGGCCCGGGAGGCCCCCGGACCGCTCGCGGACTGATCCAGGATTCCCAGATCGCCCCCAGTCGGCCTCAGGAGGTCCCGAAGACGGCCCAAGACGACCCAAGAGTGTATCCGAGACGCTTAAGATGCTTCAAGACGCCTTCAAGACGGCCCGAGACGCCTCCACGAGGCCCCCACAGCGCTCGAAGTGCACCTCCAAGAGGGGCCGCAGAAGCCAAAATCGTAAATATCCTTTTGTTTTTTTCAATGTTTCTGGCCTTCTCGCTTTTTCGGCTTTCCGACGCTCCACGGCCGCCCAAAAGGCCCCCAAGACCGTTCCAAGACGGCCCAAGAGGCCTTCAAGACGGCCCCAAGACGGCCCAAGAGGGCCCCAAGACGGCCCAAGAGGGCCCCAAGAAGGCCCCAAGGGAGGCCCAAGACAGGGACCCGGAACCGAAAAATCGAGGCCTCCACCCCGAGAGGCCCCCAGGAAGCCCCAAGACGCCCCAAAGAAACGCCGGGACGCTCCCAAGACATCCCCAGGAGGCCCCAGGACGCCCCAAAGAGGCTCCAAGAGGCCCCCCAGAGGCCGCCAAGCGCCCCAAAAGACCCCCAAGGGGCCCCCAAAGAGAGCCCAAGAGGCCCCAAGACGCCCCCAAACTGCTACCAAGAAGCCCCCAAACTGTCTCCCAGAGGCTCCCGAGAGGCCAACCACGAGATCCCAACCAACATCCACGAGATCTCTTACCCATTACCCAGGCCCGCGGCGAGATTGCCCGCAGGCCACTACAGCCGGTTCGGGGGCCCTACGTATACCAGCACCCGCACCCTTGGCTGTATCGGAGGCCTCACCGCTGCTGTCTCGGTTCTGCTGGCTTCGATCTGCCAGAGCTCTCGAGACGGCCATCTCGACGGCTCGAGAACCCCGAGATGGCCCCAGGACCAACCTGCGCGGGCCCGCTAACGTGGCCCCTTCACTCCGACGGTGCCTGA